CGGGCGCAGCTGGGGCTTGGTCCAGCCGCTACGTAGGGTTTCCGCCAGCGGCCCCAGCAGCCTGGGGAGGAAGCTGGGATCTCCTTGGGGTGGCCCAGGAAAGGGGGTCCCAGCCGCTGCCCCCTTCCCGCAAACAGAAAGCCCGGAGGTGGGAGGGGGACAATTAAGGGAGGAGCCCCCCTCCCCCAGTGGAGGGTTCTGCGTGTGTGAGAGATCGCCGAAATTCCCACCACCCCAGCAGAGGGTCTCTTCTGTCACGCTCATCCCAGAGACTGGAATCCTGCCTGGGCTCAAGCCTCCCTGCTCGTGGCTGCGGACAAGTAGCGGGCCAGGGAGAAAGAAGGTCCCAGCCCACCTGAAGAAATCCTGGACAGTTGGAATTTAGCCCTGATGGAGATCAGATGAGGTGTCCTCCTTGGAGCTGATCTGCTAATAGTTGCAAAGTCAGTGATTCCCCCCCCCCCCCCCCCCCCTGTTTCCATTATTCACCCAGTCCTGCGTCATTATTTCATAGGCCAGAAGTGCCGAATCCTGAAGGCTCAGCTACATAAGCCAGTAGGTGAGTGGGAGTGAATGAAAAGAAGGTGCCATGGCCCCATTATGTGCAGTGCATGAATAGTTTAAACCATGATAGAGCCTCCTGCTATTAGTGGTACTAGGGAATTTTCCTACAAACCACTCCAGGACCAGTAAAATCAGTGTGTTGATTTGAAATAATATTAAAAAAATTAAATCTTATTTTCTCCAGCCTCCAAATACCAGAGAGAAAGTAATACGACCTACCAGCGGATGGAGAAAGGAAGCAAACAAACTTTGTTAAGCTGCTCCAAGGAGGAGGGGCAAGTTGGCTGAGAACGGTAAAACACCTCTCTCTTCCCTCTAACAGAGCAAAAAGACTTTAATAAGCTGTTTTTAAAATCTGCCTCTCGATAGCTTTTATATCGAGGGGTAGAAAACTTTCACTAATGAGCAGGAGGTACATGGGGAGCAGTGAGCTAGAATTAAGACGTCAGTCTCTTTAGGATGAAAGCTTTTCCTCTTTAAAGTAGATGGTTTCTAGCTCCATGGTTTTGAAGATTCAGCTCTCAAAGGTGAATCAGTACACCGCTGTCTTCATGAGACTGCAAAGAGAGGCTTTAGGGTTGCCCTCAGGGCTCATATCTTCACCAGACAGAAGTAGAGCTAAATTTGGGGAGACTTTCATTAGTTACACTGCTACCATGAATCCTGTCAATTTCACACTGCTGTTGCTCTTAGGAAAGCTATGACAAGGACGCAGTGGAAAGCACTGCAGGTATTTAAGGAACTCACAAAATACTGAGTACCACAGGCTGGACCCTGTATAGAATAGCAAAGCATCACTTCTCTGCACAGAAACTACAAGGCTAGATAGGCATAATATAGGGTTCTTCTCCCGTCCCCACTAGCGAAGAGGCTCTATTCCTTTTCTCCTTTCCAGCAGCTCGAGGGAGCTAGGTGGACTACAAGGGATGCAAAAGATACAGATACCCAGGCAGGGTCTGAGCACAGTGCGTTCATATCCGGGGATTAAAGGCTGAGTTTCTCCTGGACATGTGACCTTCCTGGTGAGTCCCTATCATTATATGTATTGTCTTCTGGCTATTAGTAGTCAGTCTTATGACCAGTAAACATCTGCTGCATCCTTCAGTGTCTCTTTTATAGTCTTCTTTTATCTTGTGCTGTTTTCTCCTAGAATATTGTACACCTGCTGAAATACATCTGTCATATCATTGTCTGGAAATATCTCCTTCAAGTTTTTCTTAGTAAACTTCTATCCCGGGGTACTTCTACACTGCATGCTTATTCAAAATAAGATATTCTGGAATAGTTATTCCAAAATAGCTTATTTCAAAATAGCATGTCTACACTGCAGGGAAGCCTCAAAATTAGTCTAAAGTAGGCTAATGTAGACCATGCTATCTCAATTTAGAACTCCAGGAGGCACTGGGGAGGAATAACTTAGAACTGCCTTGGTGAGGGGCTATTTCAAAATAGCAGCAGTGGAGCTTCTACACACGCCTTATTTCAAAATAGCTATTTCAGAATAGGCATTCTTCTTTGTAGAATGAGGTTTACAGATTTTGGAATAAGCCGTTTATCATTTCAAAATAACACAATGACTGTGTAGACACTCTCATTGTTATTTCAAAATAATGCTAGTTATCTTGAAATAACGGTGCAGTGTAGATGCACCCGCAGCGAGCCATTAACTCACACACAGCAGAATTCTGCAACTCTTATTCACATTTGGCTAGCACTTGAATTCTAAGGGAGGACATGTAAGTTCTGCTAAGTACTATTCAGCAAGGATGCTGAATTAGGTCCCATAACAGAGTTTCACAATTTATTAACTCATGATAACAAGTTTTATTCCCTTATATTAACAGCACTGGACTCCTGACAATGCACCATCTTGGGCAGAATAGATAATTGAGCTACAGTATATATCAGTGTTTCATAAAGGGATGGTCTAAAAAGTCAAATCTTAACTGACAGATTTTGGTGAGTTCCTCCTGCCATAAAGAAAACACAGCTAATGGAAAATGTAGGTATATATTGTCTTTCTGTAGCTTGGTCAGTAAAAAGTAAGGTTAGTTCTCAGGCTTACTATTTTTTAAACCATCCTAGGATACTTATTTTTATTATTTTACCTAACATGAATTACAACAGTTGGAATTTATACGAGGCCAAATTCAGCTGCCATTGAAAATAATGGGAAAATTGCAATTAACTTGAGTTGAATTAGGCCCATGGTGCCTCTCAGTGAAGATTTAAAAGTGCTATATCAAAGCAGGATTGATGCTTTTATAATATTACATTTATACTCCTAAAAGCGCTTGGACTGAAAACTGGTAATTAAGGAAACAGGACAAGCAACAGTAACGCAGGCTTCCTCATACTGCCTGTGTGAACATGTTTCAGCACTGACCTGGAGGGAGTCCTGTGTGTGAGATGGTACTTCAGCCACAGTCATACTGCCAGCATGGGAGCCATTAAGCCTACACATCATTACTTGGAGGATTTTTTTTAGTTTCATAGCAGACATGCATAGGGATATAAAGAGAGGGTAGTGACCAGATGGAGTAATTCAGAGAGGGCATTCCATGCATAAAGAAATAAAAGAAGGCATAAAGATGCTTGGATATGAAGGAAATGGTCCGTCTAGACTGGCATTTTCAGCAGAACAGAGAAAGGGGTGGAGGCAAGTGCAGAGAGGTAGGGCAGAGAAGGGCAAGAAGCTTAAACCTGATGCAATGAAAGAGGGAGAGCTAGCAGAAGGATTCAGAGAGCAGAGTGATGTGATCAGAGAGATGTAGTAAAAAGATCATTGGAGCACTGTTTTTTATGGACCAAATGGGCATGATATAGGTATTATAGAAGTGGAGAGGAAGAAGTTAGAATAAGGAACATGGTGAAGACCTGGGCAAGTACTTTGGCTTCCTGAACAGAAAGAAAAGGATTGTTCTTTGAAATGCAGTGCATGAAGAAATGGTATAGCCTGAGTAAAATCAGTTATTAACCTGATCTGGATTTGAAGCAGTAACCTAGTCATGAAAGTCTGCATTTCATGACTAATCCTGGAAGTCATCAAGTCTCCCAAGGAGCTTGTGTTTTAAGTTTTCCCATTTAAAATTTCATGGATTAATTTGATGCGATCCTGTCCTTTAGAAATGGAAAATGTTAGGCTTGTGTGGTCATCCAACGTCAGTCAACTATCTCATTAGAATGATGCACAGATTGCCTCATGCAGTGATAGATTTATTTTAATCAGTTTCTTAATGTAGTACTAACATGGGTAATTACATTCTCCTTACCTAAATTCCCTCTGCAGAGTTAATTGAATACAATATTCATTCTTCATTGCATATCTAGGAAGTTGCTAGTAAATCCCAACAGAGGGTTTTTTATTTTTTATTTTATTTTATTTTTTGTTCTTTTGAGGGGTTAAGGGGAGGACATGTAAGCAGAAAAAGAAAATGGCTCTCATAGATCTATACCTTGCTTAAGGACAAATATATTTGTAACATAAATAGGAAATTGGAAAAGGAAATGGTGAAAAACATGAAAATGAATTGCTTTATGTTTTCAAAGGATACACAGTAAATGAATGCATTCCCTAGGGTGAAGTTCCCTGTTATCACTATTCATGCTTTATTAATTTTCCCCTTTACATTAGAATAATTCATCATTTCATAAACAGATATAGAAGTATTTAATTGGAAAAGCACTAGGTACAGTAATTAAAAATATTGGTGACAAAAATATAATATGCTTTGCTTACTGAGGGAGGAAAGGGAAGACACACAATGAAAATCCAAGCAATAGGGAAAGTTTGCAAACAGATAATTTCGGATTCACTCAGGCTCAGTAGGTATTTCCCAGTTATGCTGCAGAAGGTTAATAATCCAGGCCCACTGTAAGTCTGTGTGTGGGTGTGCATGAATTCCAGACAAATCTAACCAGGCATCATGAAAGCAGAGGTTTTCAGCAGCACCAAATACAGGAGCAGCTGCTAGAAATTACTTAATCGATTTAGGTATATTTTATCAATAATTAAGTATAATATACTATACACACCAGCTTTGGAAACTGGAGCACGCTGAAATTTAGAAGGACTTCTGGTAGGTACATTCCATAAACTAAATATTCTTGCAAGGTCACATTAGCATAAACTTTGTGTTAATTTGGTTTATAATGTATTTCTAATGTGGGAAAGTTAGAGTTCCCTGGAGTCCAAAACCAATGCAATCGTCTATGCTGGCACCTAAAGACATCTGCAATATTTTGTAGGGTTGAAATTGACTCCTGTACAGGGACCTAGCATAAGGCTGGTGCACAATTTAAATCTCATTTATACCCCCAAAATATGGCTTAAGTGTGCTGTAATGGTGCATTGACTTTGTACTGGCTCTCAGAGGAAGGGCGAATTTCAGCTAAAATGTTGAATTTACATAATACTTAATGTAGTACTGTATAGGCTAGATTCACGAAGAGGATATAGCTACCTAACTATATCATGAGGTTCCTAAGTCTAACATTTAAGCACCAAAAGCATTCACAAAACCACTTCTTAGCTGCTACCTAACTCTGAAGGTGTTGACAGTCCGTAGGTGCCTACATTTCCACAGGTAAAATCTCTCTAGCCTAGGTGCCTCGTTTCTGCTGCTGGGCATATGCAAAGCCAACTAAGGGCTTATCTACATCATCCAGCAATGTGCAGTACTGGAGCATGATTTATAAAGTTCATTAATGTGCACTAACTGGCCCTTTGACTTTTAGTTCACATCAACAGAGTCTAGTGGACTCGTTAGTGCACAACACATTACTGCACTTAACAATCACACCTCCATAGTGCATACTGCTGCTCCATGAAGACAGTCTGTAAGTCTTGACACTTCCTTAACCCTATCAGGATTCAAAAACTAGGCATTTCCCTGCCATCCCCTAGCAGGGCCTGATCTAGTTGAGATGCTCTCAGAACACCTCAGCCACCCAGAAGATAGAAAGGAAGAGGAAATGGTGCCCCTCCTCTCACTCAATAGTGCAGTGATAACAACAATTTTCCAGGAGGTGGGAAATCTGGGTTAAAATTCCTCCTTTGTCTGACTCAAAGCAAGCACTTGAACTGCTTTGGCTATAGAAGAGTATTCATGCACTGTTTATGAAATACTGATGTAGGCATTGGGCCAATGAGAAGTAGGGCGCTCATGAGAGAGTTTGCCTGGGTTTGCCTGTGCTCTGAATCTGACAGAGGTGGGGCTTCAGCCCAGGTCTCCAGCCTACCAGATGAGAGCCCTCACCCGTTCCGACAGCTCAAATCCAACCCCACCACCACCTTGCCCAAATGGTCTGGCAATTCTTTCAGCCCCCTGGAGGTGAGGCTTAGGCCATACTCTTCGTCTTGGCATTTTCTACTGGCTAGCATAGGAGTCTCCATGCTCAGAGTTCTGGCTTCTGTGAATCCCATTTTTAGGCACTCAACTCTCCCCAGGCACTGTATAGGATGTTTGGGCACCTGACTCAAAGTTGGGAATTCCAGTAGTTGGTAGAGCCTAAAGTCCCTTTTGTGGACCTAGCTCCATGTATCCATGTTATCATTGAGAAATTATGTACTGGGTTTGTACATAAAAATGTTGTACATTACATATAATGGATTATCATAATATAATAATGCAAAAAAGCTAGAAAAAGTTTTAGCAGCCTTTATTCATTGGTGTTGATTTCTTATTGTTATCCCAAATACACTTTAGAAATCAATGTGCATGGTTTATAATTACTTTTCCTTTTCAGTGTAATTGCTTTATAACTGGATCATTGGTAGATACCTTGGATTGGATTGTTCTCACATCATTTTTCTTTGGACTCTTGGCTGAGGTGGATCTTGGATGTTGTTACCAAATGGGTAACTGCTTCTTTGACTGCAAGTTCACATTGTTAATGGAAATGGATCTGAATCACAAAGGTTGTATCTAGATCTCAACTTCAGTTAAGTTCAGGAATGTTCTGATGTAGGCCAAAGATTGTGGGTTCTAGGCGGGTGCATCTAGACTGGCAAAAGTGCCTGCTTTTGCACAAAAACTTGCTAGCTGTCTACACTGACCGCTTGATTTTGCATAAGAGCACTGACGTTATAGGCTGTGTCTACACTGCACCCCTTTTCCGGAAAAGGGATGCAGATGAGACAAGTTGGAATTGCAAATGAAGCGGGAGATTTAAATATTCCCCGCTTCATTTGTATAAACATGGCTGCCTCTTTTTTCCGGCTCGGGGCTTTGCCGGAGAAAAGCACCAGTCTAGACGGGATCTTTCGGAAAATAAACCCTTTTC